GAACAATTCACGAATGATCAAATGGTTTCACAAGAAATAGTTTCAACAAGAAATAGCATTACGGACGGATCACCACATTACGGAGGTCACAAAGGCAAAGAAGGCCAGCTATTTCTAGTGATTATGTAGTTTACTCACTTGAGCATGAATGTGAATTGAGCATTGACAAGGATCTAGTCTCTTTCCAGAAAGCCATGGAATGTGATAATTCTGAAAAATGGTTTAATGCCATGAAGGAGGAAATGCAATCAATGAGTGATAATCAAGTCTGGGATTTAGTCGAGTTGCCTGGGGGGTCAAAACAAGTTGGTTGTAAATGGGTTTTTAAGACCAAACGGGACTTTAAGGGCAACATTGAAAGATATAAGGCCAAACTTGTTGCTAAAGGTTACAGGTTACATTTAAGAGGATGGCATTTGATTATATAAAGAGACCCTTTTCTCCAGTTTTCAAACAAAGGACTCTTTATGAATTATTTTGGCTTTGTGCTCATTATGATCTAGAGCTTCACCAAATGGATGTAAAAACAAAACCTTTCTTAATGGTGACTTAGAGGAGGAAGTATATATGGAGCACCAGAGGGGTTTGTGGTCAACAGGAAAAGGAAAACTTGGGTGGTGTAAGTTAAAGTAAGTCAACTATATGGACTGAAAGCCAAACTTCCGTCATGGTATCCGTTAAGTTCACTAATACATCACTTTAATATGAATTATTATAGAAAACACAGTTGGATCGTAATATTTATAAATGAAGGTCAGTGGGGAGCAAGCTCATTATGTTAGTCCCTAATATGTTGGATGGACGATTCTTCTTGCTGCGCGCCCCATGATGTTGGGTTTAATTGCATGATGTAAAGGGTTTTCCTCTTCTAAGAACTTTGAAATGAAGATATGGGAGAGGCATCCTTTGTGATTTTTTGAAATAGAAATAATTTGTGAATAAAGGCACAAGGAGCTGTTAGGATTGTCTTAAAGAGCTTACATTGAATAAGGTATTCGAGAGATTCAGAATGGAAAAATGCTTCCGTAGGAATAGTTCTAATTTCAGAAAGGGAGATAGGTTCAAGTGAAATGCATGTCCTAAAAATGATTTGAATGTAAATAGCCACTTGGAGTCTATTCCATATGCGTCAGTGGGTTTTTGAGTGGTTGGGAGCTTAATGTATGTTCAGACATGTACTCGATCGGATATTAGTTTCGCCGTAGGAATGTTAGGGCGATATCAAAGTAATCCCGGGAAGGACCATTGGAAAGCTGCAAAGAAAGTACTTAGGTATACAAGGCACTAAGGATCATATACTCACTTATAGAAAGTCCAGCCATCTAGAAGTTGTGGGATACTCGAATTCAAACTATGCCGGTTGTGTAGATTCGAGAAAGTCTACATTTGGCTACTTGTTTCTTCTAGCTAGAGGAGCAGTATCATAGAAAAGTGGAAAGCAGTCTGTCATTGCTAGTTTAGCTACTTCCACCTATAGAGCTCGAATTTGTTGGATGCATGCTTTGAGGCCACTGTTCATGCATTGTGGTTGCGGAACTTTATCTCAGGTCTAGGCATTGTCGACAGTATAGCTAGACCATTGAGAATTTACTCTGATAATTCCGCAGCTATCTTCTTCTCTAAAAATGATAGGTACTCTAAGGGTACAAAGCACATGGATTTGAAGTACCTATCTGTGAAAGAAGAAGTGCAAAAACACAAAATGTCAATTAAGCATATCGGTACTGATCTGATGATAGCGAATCCGCTAACTAAAGGCCTACCGCCCAAAATCTTCACTGGCCATGTTAATAGGATGGGCATTATAGATAAGAAGTCCTTGTTAAGCATGATGTTTAAAAAACTTATATATATATAATATATATATATATATATATATATACATATGGTTATTTTGTTCATATTTATTTTTGTGAACACTCGGGATTCAACTTATAAGATGTATTTTTGGCTTATTTTTGTGTTAATACTATAGATGTATAAATAATGGTTTGGGTGAGATAACAATAGAACGTTGATTGTAACAATGTAATTGTTTGGTTGAATAGTTTCTTCTCCATTAAAAGTTTTATGAATTGAAAGTGGTCTGTGGATATATGGAAAAGGAATCAAATGTCGATAATGACTTGTGACCGCCATAAATCCGATCATCTTAATTCTAGTTAAAGGTAAACATAATGATAGATTTCCAAGTAAATGGCACATGGGCGGCAAAGTGGGAAGATTGTTAGAAAAAACTATTTATAATAAATCTAACATATGTGGCCCATGTGATTAAGGGTTGGTTTCTAATTAAGCGTGGCCCAAGATGATGGTTTGTTGGGCTTAATGGATAAGAGCCAGTTAGGGTTTTAATAGCCATTCCTATAAGGATATATATTATAGATAAGGAATCCGAACAGTAGGGTGAACACAGAAAAGAAAACAAAATAGAGAGTGTGACGGCTGCCTCAAACAGATACAGCGATAGCTTGTTTGAGAGAGCTCATAAAAGAAACTCCCATAGCTATTGATTATTCTCTGACCATTGAGAGAAAACTTACAGACAAAAGGCCAGAGGAAGAAACGCAGATCTGCTGTTACGGTGAGAATCGAATTGCCGCAACGAGGTAACCCATAACATAGATATGTGGTTATGGATCAAGGTACGCTTCCGATTATTGTATATTCTAGTCAAATAAATTCTATGAACAATAGATCTGGGCTATATTAAAGATTGTTTAACATGTGGTATCAGAGCCTATACCTGTTCTAGATTTGTTGCTGTTATGGATCAAGGTACGCTTCCGCTTATTGTGTATTTCTATCAAACAAATTCTATGAACAATAGATCTGGGCTATATTAAAGATTATTTAACAATTTGCTGTGAAATTGGCTAGTTCATCGGGTAACAATGATGATATCTGCTACAAAAGGTTCTAGAACTTGAATGTACCTCCAAAGTTGAAACATTTTTTTACAGTGCATCTACTAATCAGTTTCTTACTAAGTATGATTTAATAAGGCAATGTATAGATCTTGATTTTATTTGTGATGTCTGTAGGGATGATGTGGAATCTGCACTTCATGTTCTTCTAGTGTGATTTAGCAGTTCGAATTGGGTATCTAAGTCCTTTGAGATTGTCGATTTCACCATTGGAGTGTTTTGTGAAGCTTTGGTTCTTCAATCTGATGGATAACTTCTCAAATGAGCAGCTGGAACTAGTGATTTGGATGGCTTGGAGCATTTGGAAAGCATGTAACCTGAGATTGTTCAAGAGTAAAAAGCTGGTGGAACCTTAAATAATCAATCAGGCCTCTTAGTTTTGTTTGAAATCCAAAATATGGGTGAAGGACTTGAGGGAAATTTTCCTTCTACAGTTGTAGCAAGTCCAGCACCTTTTTTTAAAGTACTCTGTGATGCCTCGTTTCTATCTGACCAAGGTCTTTGCGAAGTGGTGTTTATGATCAGAATGATAATGGTGATGTCATTGCCTGTGGGGTGAAGCGGTTCTATAATAGCCTTGAGGTACATGAAATAGAAGCTGAAGTAATTCTCTTTGCTGCAGAAACAACCTTAACGCTGTCTTTTAGCTGAGTCATGATCGAAACAGATTGTTTTCACCTAGCCCGCCAGTATGCGCAGAAGCAGTTCCCTCCCACAAAATGGGGAACCAGACTCTTCAAAATTTGTTCTCTAGCATCTTCTTTTAGTCAGTTTTCTTTATCTTATATTTGTAGAGCTTCTAATATGGTATATCAAAAACTTTCTCAACTTGCTTTAGTTTTTATGAAAGTGGAGTGAGTTTGGTTTGAGGAATGTCCACAAACTATTGTTCCTTTGATTCAGGCAAAGGCTTGCCTTTGACTATTTATAAATTCCTATTTTTATTCTCAAAAGAAAAGAAGTTTATATTACTGATTAGTGAGGAATTCATCTTCCTAATTTATATAGAAGTTTATTTCCCTAATTACTGTACGAATTAATAAGAATGATGCTCATACTTTCTATCTTTATTTTCTCTCTATTTTTCACCCTACTTTTCTCATTATTTTATAATAATAGTTCCTTTTGTTACAAATTATTTTGATATTTACTAGTGTTAATTATTTCATGTACGTAGGATTTTAATAATTTATAATAGTTTATAAAAAACAACAATATAATACTATAATAATTAATAAAATAATATTTAAATATTTACGCATGAAATGTTATTTTTCGATTAATTTTTTCAATATTTGAACTTGATAAAATTAAATGTATTTGGTGGATTTGGAAGTCACGTGCGTCTGTTGTTAAATCATTTGATTTGATCAAATATAAATACGGGCTTTACTCAAAGTATGGAACGGAATTATTGTTACTTGCTAGAATGAAAATGTGTTGGGGGTTGCACACGTGCATGGCACGTGAACATAGAAAGATCTTGCCGGAAAGCAATGAGTATATTGAGAAGACTTCGGGTAAGAGCTACTAACACCATCAATTTGAGTATGAGCGGATCATAATATTTATTAAATTAGATAATTAAAGAATCTAATTTAATAATTAAAATCTTTGTTATATAAACATTAATTAACATAGTAAAACAAGTGATTAACTGCTAAAATTTAATATTATTTGAAAAATATACATTAATTAATATTTATGAAAAATATATATTTTTATATTATTTCAAATCAATTTATTTACAACCAAACTAAAACTATAATTACCAAACATAACCTACGTCCAGCAGATTTATGTTTTTACTTTCCAAAGAAAAAAGGCTGATTACCAAAGACAGCTTCACTCTAACTGATTTATGTTTTTATTTAATTTCCAGAGTAAGGATTACGACGTGAGTACAGAAACCATTTTGATCTATATGACACGTGTTCAAATCAGAGTGGCTTAAGAACATTGAGTTGACTGAGAGGAACCACACGGGAAGAAACGCTTTACATATTAGATTTAGGCGCGATTTAGTCGAGGTGGAAAAAGGAGTTGAGGTGGGCAGGCCAAGCTAAACCAATGGATTCTGTTTTTCTTTTCATATCCAAAACAAACATTTACAAAACCAAAATAAATAAATAAAAGCTTTCGTATGGAAATGTTCTTATTCGGCTTCTAACTTATACAACAAACAGAACCTCTGCTTCTTCTTCTTCTTCTCCTTCTCCTTCTCCTTCTCTCTTTTTGTATCTTTTATACAGTGAACAAAAAGAGAAGTGATCTCGTACCTTTTCTCTTTAATACAATGAAGAAAAGGAGGAGAGATCATGTTACCAGTCACAGTATCACCGCTGTTCTTCGTCGTTTTTTCCTCATTATGCGGCGGCGTCACCATTTGTTTCATCTCCTCACCGTCTTTTTATGTTGTCTACTCTTCCTTTTTCTTGCTTTCTCTCTTTTATCTTTTCCTCCTCCTATTAATGACCACCTCTCTTCAATGGTAATTAATATTCTTTGCTTCTGATTGTTATGGGATTTGATTATACTTCCGCTTTTTTTTTTTTCGTTAATCAAATGATCAATTTTTTATTTTTATTTTGGAGTATAATCTTTTTCGTTTGGTTTTGTGAGATTAGTCTCGAAATGAAGTGACTGTAAACTCGACTTCGCCGGCGTTTCGTGTTCCGGTACTGATATATTCTAGTTTGATACGTTTGTTTATTTTATGGTTTGGAGCGACTTTAAGATTTTGATTTTTGTTTTACACTTCACACTATAAGGTTCGGATGATTCATGTTTGCTATTTCCAGGAAAGTGGAGAGAGCTCGGGGCCGGGGCGTGAATTATGGAGCTCAAGATTATCCAATTTTTACTATGGTTGCAGTAACGCCAGTGACAGCTTTGCAAGTAAACAATCGAAATCTAATCTTATTTTTTTAAAAAAATTAAATTTTGGTTGAAAAATGAATGATGTTTTGGCCTATCAATAGATAAGAAGTTTTGAATTTTAGTTATTTTTATTTTCCGCCCAAAAAAGGGAAAAGACAGATAAAAGAATGCACATTTTCCTTTATCGTTGAAATTTTATTTGTCTTTCTTAAATTTTATTTACGAAAAAACATGTTAAAATAAAAAGTAAAAATAAAAAGAGAAAAATAGCTATTACCTGTAAAGTTTGTCCACTATAAGTGTCTTACAGTAATGCTCCTTGTGATGAAATGAGTTTTGAGATCTGAAAGCTCAAATCAATTAGCAGCAAGCTATTATCTTGCACAGTTTGTCTAATTTTCGGAGTCCTAAAGTTATTCTTCTTGTGATAAAAATGGATTTCGAAATTTATGAGCTCAAATAAGTTCTTTTTTGATATAGGATTATGGAGATTTTTTTTTTTTTTTTTTTTTTTTTTTTTTTTATTTACGTGCGGTTTTTTTTTTTTTTTTTTTTTTACCTCGAAGGTTACTGGTAAAGTGGTAGTAAACTTGAAGAATATATGGGGTTTTAGTTAATTAAATATTTTTCTTTCTTTATTCAAATTCTTGTTTAACTCCTGTTTGTAGAAGAAAGAGTTAGCAAACTTGCTTTTGTGATTGTCGTCCAAGGACATAGGCAGTTTGATTTAATGGAGCTATATTATTGTATCTTATAGCCGCTGATGTGAAAACGCATCACAGTCGATTCTTGTTGATTGCTACAAGCGGAGGCTTAAATCAACAGAGAACAGGGGTGAGTCTCTTAACTCTAATAATCTTGAGCCAAGTCAAGTGTCAATTGTTGATTTTCAAGAACTGGAGTGTTATTGCAACTGTCAAATAAAGTAGACATTATAACAGTTAACAGTTCTGTTTCAAGATCAAGTCAACATTTAAGATTAATATTTTTTGGTTCCATAATTTCTTATGTAAATTAGCCGAAGGCATTTATGAAACCCAATGTTTGTCTTGTGATTGTTATATGGATGGGATTATACTTGCACCTTTTCTGCTGTAATTTGTCACTCTATTATTGATTTTATTATATCTGGAAAATCAACAGTGTTGATGTCTTTCTGCTCTTTATATTGGGGTGGCAGCAGGATTTTTCTGTTCATCCCCCGTGTGCGTTTTCTTGTTAAATATATTGGGATTTATACTGGTGAGAAACCCTGTTCATGCTATCTGCATGTGAAAATATATTTAGGGGGCATTAGATCTAGTGAAGTTTTAGATGTTTGTAAGCAACCATGATGGATTTTCGAATGTATAATTCACTGCAAATGTTGCCATTATACTGGTTATATTGCTAAATTGGTTTCATGTAGTGATTGATTTACACTTCTCATGGCTGCAGATAACAGATGCTGTTGTTGCAGCTTATATTTTAAATGCAACTCTAGTTGTTCCAAAACTGGATCATAAATCATTCTGGAAGGATTCTAGGTTTGCTGTTGTACTCATTGGCGAATTACAGTTTCAAAGTCTATCTGCTAGACTGTTTTCCAGTGTATTAATATGTGATTTGGTGCTTGGTGCAGTGATTTTTCCGAAATCTTTGATGTTGACTGGTTCATTTCGTTCCTCTCAAAGGATGTAAAAATCACCAAAAATCTCCCAATGAAGGGAGGGAAAGCTGTGATTCCTTATTCCATGCGTGTCCCAAGGAAGTGCTCTCCAAAATGCTATCAAAGTCGTGTTTTACCTGTTTTTAGTAAGAAGCATGTAGGTTCTCAATTTCTAACTAAACTATCAAATGCCAATTTCACCAAAATAGTTTTTCAGTTGTGGTTTACCCAATTTCTAGGGTTTAATTTGGTAGAATTCAATTATGTTCTGAATCCATGAAAAGAACTTGATTTCACATACTTCCTTAGTTTCTTTCACTAGATAATGGACAGGATTATACAAATATGCTATAGAACCTGCATTAGCAGTAAATGCTAGTGTAAATGATGTACAAAGCTAACAACAAAAAGCCTAACATTCAAGTGAAGTTGTGGAGCTGTGAGTTATTGGTGTAGGTCAAATTGCAATAATGCATCATGAAGAATGATAAACTCTAGTTCCATCTGATTTCCTAGTTGAATTTTAGTTGGATGCTGAAGCAGGCATTTCTTCAAAGTAACTTACCTAGGATCAAGTTAGTTCCTTCATTTCGAGATGGAGTGTGATAAATTTAAGAAAGTGGGGAATCAGGATGAGATGAGGCATGCATATGTTTACCAAAGCCGAAAAGTAAAGAAGTTGCAATTAGACAATAAGGGATGAAAACCCTGAATTTTATTATGCACAGTTAAGTGTTTCAGTAATTCTATTGGATATTCATTTATACTCTTGCTTTCTCTTGAAATTTTTTTTTCTTGGTCACTTCAACGTATGCAGCATTTTTAGAGATCTTGAAACTATGTTTATGTCAAATGACAATGAATTACTGAGCTTTAATGCTATTTTGGATCCATTATTGTGCATGTTGTTAAAGAACTAAAAGTTTGTTCACAAATTATTTGTTTTGTAGGTTGTTCAGCTTGGGAAATTTGATTACAGGCTCTCAAATAGGCTGGACATGGATTTACAGAAGCTGAGATGCAGAGTCAACTACCATGCTTTAAAATTTACCAATTCAATTCTTGAAATGGGTAAAAGGTTGGTTGAAAGAATGAGAATGAAAAGCAAGCACTTCATTGCATTGCACTTGAGGTAAGGTCCTTTTCATTCTTGATTCTTATATTTGTAGTAATTTTAAATACTTTAAACATTCTTGTTATATAGGCTTCAATTAATCTTTTGTTATATTGCCATGTAAGCATAGATGGAGCTCTTGTTTTTCTTTAAGACTATGGATGAGCTCATTAATTCAGAAAGTCTCTCAATTGAGATTTTGGTAGTCAATAGCCCTGAAGAAATATGATGAGTTTAAGATTTTGATAGTAGGAGAGAAGCTCATTAATGTAGTTTAACAAATTATGTTGTAGGTTTGAAGCTGATATGCTTGCTTTCTCTGGATGTTATTATGGTGGTGGAGAAAAAGAAAGGATCGAGCTTAGTGAAATTCGGAAGAGGTGGAGAAGTTTGCATGTGAGGCTCTCAGACCTTTGTGCATCCTTAACAGTTTATGAGACATGTCAGAAATTCTTATGTATTATTAATTTTTTTGCCAAATGCAGCAAAAGAACCCCGATAAAGAGCGAAAACAAGGAAGATGTCCACTAACCCCGGAGGAAGTTGGTCTTATGCTGCGAGGATTGGGTTTTGGAAGCGATATTCATATATATGTGGCATCAGGTGAAGTATATGGAGGTGAAGAGACATTAGCACCACTGAAGGCTCTGTTTCCCAACTTACACTCAAAAGAGACTTTAGCCAGCAAGAAAGAACTGGCACCTTTTTCTGCATTTTCTTCTCGCATGGCTGCACTAGACTTCATTGTTTGTGATGAAAGTGATGTTTTTGTTTCCAACAACAATGGCAACATGGCCAGAATTTTAGCTGGACGGAGGTATGCTACTCATTTCTTTCACATTAGATTGCTATATGAAAAACCATTTGTTAATGTATTTAAGCCAAAAAAAACTTTGTATGATCCTGCAGAAGTATCTAGAAGACTTCAAGAAATAATTTTTCTTTTGAATTTTTCTTTTTCCGCATTCGGTGTTTTATTTTTGGCTTTCATCATCAAGTTGTTTAAGCATCTACTTTCTTATGGAACACAAATAACAATACCTTCTTTTTTTCCATTGCAGGAGATATTTTGGGCACAAACCAACAATTAGACCAAATGCTAAAAAACTTTATAAGTTGTTCTTGAACCGACATAACATGACATGGGAAGAATTTGCCTCAAGGGTTCACACTTATCAAATTGGATTCATGGGGGAGCCAAATGAGGTGAAACCTGGGCGCGGTGCGTTTCACGAAAACCCATCATCCTGCATATGCGAGAACTCCCAAGCAAGGGCTGAGGGAGCCTCATATCCTCAGAGTCAAATGCATGAGAGACAAGGTGAGACTAGTAAGAGGAATGAGACTGGTGATGTAACTGATGAGCACTACTTAACAGAGGATGAACATGACCAGGATTGGTTTGATTCGGAGTATGAAGAAAACGGAATTGCTGCTGAAGGGAAAGGAGATTTGTATAAACCTGCATTAACTAAAACCGATCAACCAGAATTAGAGTTATTGTTCTCCGACTGAGTAAAGAGACTGCGTTTTTTATATTGACAAGAGTTAATATTCTTAGCCTAACCAATTTTCATCAGATTCTTTAGTTCTTCAATTTGGTCCTTCCATATTTTCTTCGACAGTCAGCATTTTATCTTCTGTAACAGGCGGCGAAATTAAAAGAAGCACTTTGTATATAGATGACTTGGTAAATAAGCAGTTTCAATTTCCACAATTTGTAAATATATTATGATTAGCTGCTGCGTTGAGTTAAGAGTTTCTGTTGTATAAAGGCCATTGAAATTTGTGGTTAGAAGAATTTTCTTGTTTCTTCTTGGACTCTTAGTTGGTGATTTTTACCATTATTAGGCAAGATGGGGTATAGAACGTCATTGACGATAAGGAACTTGTATTATTGATTTAGTATTTGGAAAGCTAAAGTAATAATAATAATAATAATAATAATAATAATAAGCATTTGTTTTCTTGTATAGAATTATGAATGTAACAAAATTATGAAATTTTCTTGTACTATGACATGCATACTAACAAAGAAAAGTGCATGACTATACTTGGGAAATTACTTTCAGATGTAATATAAAAAGTTAATAAAAGTATTTATATTCCAATTTATATAATGTTATTTTAGTTTCTACCAGAAATTCAAAAATTGTAACCATTTTCCTGAAATTATCTATATTGAAATGCCTGTTTTTTTTTTTTTTTTTTTTTGCCAAAAACAAAATAAGTTTTGAGGTCATGAGTGCACAACTTCCAAGTGTAGACGGTGGGGGTGCTTTCGAGAGACATTTGGTAGCAGATTCTTTAGTCAGGTAGATTCTTTAGCAGTTGATACTGCTGGTGCGGTCGGTCGCTTCTGTCTAATTGTGTATAGTGCAGTTTTGTCTCTCTACTTTACACATCGGTATCGCCGATTCACTGGACAGGGTTAGTTTTGTCCTTAATCGGCCCATCTAGTTCGATTTCGCTCCATCTATTTCTATAGTGAGGCTTGTCTCGTGTTCATCTCTGCTCCGAATCGAACCTCGGGCCATGCCTATTTACACAAACAATAATATTGTCAAAAATATATATATATACAAAAAATTCGTGAATTATTACTTAATCTTTTTATTATAACTAATTTTTTCGAATCTGCGTTCCATATCGTTGATTTTTATTCATTCTAAATAAATATAATTTAATTATATATATAGTTTTCTTTTATTTTTTATTTTAAATTATAATATTATAAATTTATATTATAAAAAATCTAATTGCATTCAAAAAATAAAAATATATTTTATAAAATAATAAAAAATAAATTTTTCTCAAAGTGAGGATTAGCTTCACTTGGCTGATTACGTTTTCAATTTATATTATAAACTAGTCGAAAAACCGCACTTTGCGCGCGAGTATTTAAATGTTATTCTATTAATTGTTGTAATTAATTATATTATTATTTTTTAGTAAATTATTATGATTTATAAAATTGTTAGGAAGAACAATTAAAACCCTACTAAATATAATCCAACAATGGTAAATATTAAAATGATTTGTAATAAAGAAAAGTATGTCATTGTTTGCAATAGTATAACATTATAAACCTACACATTTTAATGAAGTTTCTTTAAATATAATGCTCTCTCCGTTTCATTTTGTTTGCTTGTTGTTGCTTTTTTGGATATCCCAAAATATTTGTAAAGTTTCTGAATTTGTATATTTAAGCAATTATTTTCCATAGTAACCTTTATGATTGTTCCTTAAATGAATGACTTTTTATTAATATTTTAGTGAGTTAAAGGTAAAAAAACACAAAATAATTTTTGTTGATTAAATTTTTAATATGCGTATTTTGTCAAACCATGCAAACAAAATAAGATGAAAGGAATATTAAGTCCCTCCAATTGTAATCTCATAAAAGGTGCATACTTATAACTATTTATCTTTGATACTTATAACTATTTATCTTTGATACCGTAAATCCAAAAGATCTTGGCTGTGAAATAAAAAATAAAATTTCAAACTAAATGAAATTTCACGTGATAAAACAATTTGAATTTTTTAGAAGCACATAAATATATATATTATTACTAATTATGCTCCAAATGAGTGATTATTGCTTTATAATTATTATAATTGAATTACTTTGAAAAATTTTTAATTTGTAATTTTTTATTATTATTAGTATTATTATATTTATATCTATCTATATCTATATAAATATATAAAAACTCAACTAAATTTACTTATGTGATATGATATTGTGAAATTTAATTAGTGATGTGGAATTTTATTATTTTAAAATTTTTATTTAATTATCTAATTTGAAGAAATCAAATTATTGAAATTATAAAACTTTTCATTTTCTTTATTCAATAATTAATAACCATATAATAAATTTATTTTATCAATAAAAACTCTTTATTTTCTTTCTTTTGCAATAATTAATAATCGAAATAATAGATTTTTTATAATAATACTAGAATACTAATTAATTTTTAATAATTAATAACCATGCAATGAATTGATCTGACATTTTATTATTTTATAATTTAATTATCATCTAATTTTTTTAAATATTAATTTTTTTGAGTACTTTATATATAATTGTACATGATCTCCTAAATTTATCATACAAATTATTATTTTCTTTTTTGTGTTAAACATATTTTTAGATAGGGATAAAAATTAATATATTGAGCAAAAGATGTCTATGAGTAATGATTTCCGTAAGTTTCTTTCTTTTTCCATTCATATAATTTTATAGTTTAAGTAATTGTTTTAATTTGTAAAAATAATATTTGTGTTTATTTTTTTTAGTTTAGCTAAGAAGGCGAGTTTGTTGTTTTAATTTATTAGTGTGTAGAATTCTTTTATCATTTTTAAATCTATAGAAAAAGTTGGATTAGTAGTTTTTGTTATCGTAATCGAAGAATATTAAAAGGGTGAATGAAAAAATTATTTTTTCATCATATTAATTTATTTATATTTTTCAATCAAATTTAATTGGTACAGTTATTTATAAGTATTGACAGGCGATCGACTAGTAAATATATAAAAACAGAACTTTCAAAGCTGGCATGGCACAAAACTAGAGCTTTGAAGTGCTTTTTTTTTTTCTTTTTGCATTTTTAATTTATTAGTTTATTATATAAGTATTAATTATAAATAGAGTAGGTAAGAATAATGTAACATAAAAATTGGCTATAAACATAAATAATTCCTCAATTTCCTTTTTCTCTTTCCCCCAATGGGAAAGGAAGCCACCGGAAACTAATAACAATATGGTAGAGGAAAATAATAGAAGAACAAATAATTAGCAAGTATTCTTTTTAATTTATTACGGAAAGTGCTAGATCTATGGTTACAAATAAATATTAACTTTTTTGTCTAAATTCAAGATAAAAACATAATGAAATTTAGACACTTTATTTCTCTCTGTTTTTTTTTTTTATTATTGATTACTTAGGTGAGTATTTGAGAATAATAGGAACAACAATAAAAATACTACAATTCGCTCATTACGCAAGCATATGACTAGATATTATTAATAACTAATTCTTATATTTAATCGTAAATTGATGACCATTTGAAATTTTAAAAGTTAATGAATTATTTTTTTTAATCTAGATATAACATGATAGGAATGATTTTAAAAGTTAAGGTATTTTTCTCATTATAATTTAAATGGGTTGTGTATCTAAATTTGAAATAGATATTTTGAATTTGAGTTTTAATTATAAAAATTAAGCAGATGGCAAACTTGACAACTTAAATTGATTATTAATGTATTTACTAAACTTTTATATAATTTACTTATAAATTAATAAATTCTAAGTTAAAAAAAATACTATTGAAAACAAGACTTAGATTTTCTATTTCCTTTAAACAAATATTTTTTTCATACGTCTCTCTTTTTCTCTTCATTCATGGATTACTTTTTACCTTGTTACCAATATAACATGGGCAGTAGGAAAATTTTGGATTTCAGCGTAGAAACAAACAAATAAAAACTGTTTGGAATTGAATGTCCCTCACGTTCCTAGCCCTGAAGAAAAGTCATGCCCTACCTAAACGTACCACCTATCAATTTTTCTTAAAAGATTAAAGAATCTTTGAATTCTTAATTATTGGACTCCATATAATTAGAAACAGAAAAAAAAAAAAAAAGTCACATAATTAATGACTAGATGTATAGACGTGTCTATCACTCCATTGTATCTATGAGAATATTTATGCAATATTCAGTCACCGGTTCTTATATAACTTTTAATATTTTGAATAAATCAAAATATTATTTTTATTAAGAAAATTATAATCGTGTCCTTATATTTTGTCAAAATTAATTATTCTATTTTTATATTTTTTAAAATACACTATTATACCCTTATGTTTTTAGTCCGTTATATATTGTTCCTCTTCCGTCTATCTCATGTACTTTCGGACATTAAATTGCTATAAAAATGACTTAAACGACTCTAACTAAAAGACAAAATCAATTTTGTTATAAAATCATTTTTTATCTTGCTGAAATATCGCTGGTACTGCTGGTCCCAGTAGCTGAAACACTGGGTTATATCAAAATCTTTCAATTTAACCACCAAAATGATTAGAATCTTATGGGAAACTCTTTTACATCTATTTTTTTTTTTATCATCAATTAAAATTGATATCAAGAAATTCTTAAACCCCAAAACTTTATGACAAAGAAAAATTTGTTCATATTTTCTCTTCATATTTTCTCTCTAAATTGAAAATTATAATCTTATTATTATTTCAACAATAACAATAAGGAAGAATAATGATTTCTATTACTATATTAATCTCTTCTTGTTATTATTCTTGTTCTTATTTTAGGGAGATAAATTAGAGAGAGAAATTATATAATTGCTATTATTTTTTATTTTTGCTCATTGATTCATGTACAATAGCTTTATGCGGTAAAAAGCTACAGCAAATTGTTCTAACACAAGCAATTCTAACACAAGCAATTCAGCTCTTAAATACTCTTGGAATGACCAAAGTAGAATTTATCAAGCTTACATTGTTTCCAAATCTAAACTCCTTTAAATATTTTGTCGCTTTTATTTCTACCTTTCTAAGCTTTGACTCATCTCAAATTTCTGCAAAAAATAATGTTTTCTGAAATAGAAATCCATTCAGAGATTCTCAGATCTAGGTGGTAGTGATTATGGAGGGGGAGAAAGTGTTATAAAGAAGCTGTAAGCTATGGGGAGAAAGTTTTGAAAATGTTTGCTAGAAGAGAAAGAAAGGAAGAAG